GGCGTCACCCGGGGGCCCTTCAAGAGCTGCCGTGGGGACATGGGGAGAGAAGGGTTTCTGCTGGCTGCCTTGAAAGTCACTGTCTGCCCAGAAGCAAGATGCTCCTGGTAGCAAATCCCTTGGGTTCTGCTGGTTGAGAGGTGCTGGTGGGATATTGTGTGCAGGGCAGGGCTCCTACTGCCATGAAATCATCCCAGAGGTCACCAAGCCATGGGACAGCATGGCTGGGGTGAGCAGGCTCTGCTCCTTGCCCTCTCCCATCCTCAGACCACTTGTAGTCTGCTGAGGAGCTTTAGAGGAGGCAAAGCAGAACCCCAGCCCCTTGCAGTGGTCCTTATTCCTAAGCCACATCAGGGAAGGTGGGCACCAGGCCATGTCCATGCTAACCCAAGGGGCTGCTTCCCCAGCTACCTCCTGCCACACAAGACCAAAGCCTCCAAGAGGAAGACGCCTGTGGTGAAGAAGACCCTGAACCCTCACTACAATCACACCTTCGTCTATAACGGCATCAACCCCGAGGACCTGCAGCACATCTGCCTGGAGCTGACGGTGGAGCCCCGGGGTCCATCAAGCCATGGGGATGAGGAGCCCCGGGGTCCATCAAGCCATGGGGATGAGGAGCCCCGGGGTCCATCAAGCCATGGGGATGAGGAGCCCCGGGGTCCATCAAGCCATGGGGATGAGGAGCCCCGGGGTCCATCAAGCCATGGGGATGAGGAGCCCCGGGGTCCATCAAGCCATGGGGATGAGGAGCCCTGGGGTCCATCTAACCATGGGGCTAACCTGCTTGGTGCTGCCTCGCTGCAGCCAGGAGCAGTGATTTCTGCCCATATCCATCCTTTCCCCCAGGCATGAGCAATGGACAAGCTGTGGACTGGATGGACTCCACAGGCGAGGAGCTGAATCTGTGGCAGAAGATGTGTCAGTACCCGGGCTCATGGGCAGAGGGGACGCTCCAGCTCCGCTCCACCATGGCCAAGCTGAAGCTGTAGGCATCAGGACTCGGGAATACTCTCGCTGTATGGTGTGGCAGAGCTGCCAACCATGGGTTGTTGTGTTTTATCCTTACACTTTAATAAACATGATCTCTAAACAGGCTTGGGCAGAAAGTCTTCTTGGCCCAGCTTCATTTAAAGGATTTTCCTTTAGCTTTGCACCAACTTTCAGGCTGAACTGGAGTCCTTGTGGACCCTCCCTTATTTCCCCCCAGGCAAAATGCTTTGAAATGTGGTTGGGTTGTTAGTTCTTTCCATTCTTCTTCCTCCCACCCACTGTGTTTCACAGTCTGCTCTTTCCTTGCCTTCTCCACCCTGCTCACACTGGCTGCTTGCAGGATTGGGGCAGCCCTGCACATCCCAGCCCTGGCTGGAGATGATGGTGGTGGTGTAGGACATGGCCAGGATGGAGCCATGCAGGGTCACCTGGGGGTGGTGGTCCCCAAAAAACATTCATTTCCAAGCCTGTCCTCAACACACCTTCTGCCAGCGCTGACTTTTAATACAAATGTGTTTATTTCAAGTTAATCCTGTTGCCAGAACTGCTCCCAGGAAGGGTGCCTGTGGCTGGTAAGGGGAAGCGAGGGGCAGGGGGGGATGGCGAGCCCTCGGCTGCTGCTGGCTGTGCTGAGCGTGGGGCTGGAGCTTTGAATACAGGACCCTGCCCAGCAGGGCTGACTCAGGGTGCAGGGATCGGGCTCAGCTTGTACACGGGGTGAGGATGATGATGGGGAGGGTGAAGCTGCTCTGTTAGAGGCTGTTGTGCTGCCTGTCCCCTCTGCTCTGGCAGTGTCTGTCTCCCCGTCCCCCCTGCCCTGGGGTTGAGCAGAGGCCCTCCACTGTCTCCCAGCATGGTCCTGATGAGCCATCCCACCCCACAGCCCCCCATCCCTGCTCCTCTCCCTGTGCCAGAGCCTCCGGCGCCAGGGCTCCCGTTCCCTGCAGCTCCCCAGCACCCTGCTCCTCCTCTACAGTGGGCGACTAGAAAAGCAGGAAGGAAGGTGTCTGAGCGGGGTCCCTTTGCTGCCTCACTCGCAGGGGTCCCCGCTCTGTGCCCGCCGTGCCGCCTCCTGCTCGCTCAGCAGGTAGGTGAC